CTCTCCCCCCTCTCTCTTTCTCTGTCTCTCTCTCCCCTCTTCTCTCTCTCTCTCCTCTCCTCTCTGGTGTCTCTCTGGTCTGTCTGTCTGTCTGTCTGTCTGTCTGTCTGTCTCTCCCCAGAGCCTACCCCAAGAAAGACTGCCAAGTGGTGGCTCCTCCGCCTGAGATGCTGGAGACCACACCTACAGGGTAGTTAAGGTCTGGCCCACAGACTTATATGGTGATTTCTCCTCTTCCCTTGGGATCACCTGAGAATGCTTTGATCAGTTTCAATCCTGAACTTAAATTTGGTTTGATTCAGCCTGATCTGAATTATCGCTTTGGCAGAGAAACCCAATATCGAGGTACAGACATCTTTCACATACCTCACCGCATCTGGCCATTTTCAGAAATTTTTAAAAGACTTATTCATTTTATATGTATGAATATTTCACCTAAATGTATTTATGTGTACCATGTGCCTATGGAAGTCAGAGAAGGTATTGGTGCCCCTGGAACTGAAGTTACAGATGGTTGTAGGTGCTGGGAATTGAACTCAGGTCCTCTGCACAGCAAGTAGTGTGCTTAACCACTGAGCTATCTCTCCAGCCCCATTTTTAGAATTCGTAAGTTTTTCATTTTCTTTTTTGTTTTGAGACAGGGTGTCACTATGTAGCGAGGTCGGGGATAGAACTCATTATACAGACCAGGCAGGCCAGAGATCTGCTTGCTTCTGTCTCTAAAGTGATAGTTTTAAAGGCATGTACCACAACCCCAAACCCCAAAATTCTTAGGACTGATGAACATTGAAAAGTGAAGATACACTTTTAGTATATAATCTACCTTGTATATGTATACTAATTATGTATGTATGCAATATATACATATATATTCATACATGTAATGCATGTCAAGTATTTAAAATCTTCCCTACTAGTCAGTAAAGCCCTTGTATATTCTAAAAGCTTTAAGCCAGGCTCTTGTATATAAAAATCCATGAAATGCATACCTTTTGGTTCTTTCAGATGTAATGGAAGTGGGCTGAGGCCTAGTGCAATGGTAGTAGACTCTTGCATAGCTCTGACTTGCGTAGCCAGGGCTGAAACACGAAGAAGCTAGTTAAATGCAGGGAAAGCTGACACCTGCTGCTAACCACCTGTAGAGAAAACTCTTCACAAACTGTGAACATAAGACTTTCTAAAGCTCTGTTTACCATTCTCCCATTCTCATTGGCAGCATGAACCCTAGGGAGCTCAGCCTCAAAATGAGGGTGGACTGAATTCTCATGCAATAGGCAGCTTTATTCAGAGCATCAGACAATTAATACTGAGGGCTAAAGGCATCACATGAGTAAGGTGCTCAACCACAAGGACATGCTTTTCATAGAGGCGCATGAATTACAACAGCTGAAGTAAACTCACTCCTGTCTGCTACACCTGAGAGGAGCGTGAGAACACATTGCAAGAACAATTCTGTGTTGTGAAGAAACTGAGGTCACAAGACTCTTGTCTTCTGTATACTGTTAAAGGGCAGCAGGCTGGACATCGGGCATAGTGCTGCCTACTACCCACAAGTTTTCCTTTCTGAAGCTATAGTTACTTTGGAAACTAGAAATTTGAGGGTAAGGCGCTCATAGAAAACTTGAGAAGCGAGTTTGTGAATGCAGCCCTGTGTTGTAGGAGTAACTGCAACTCTCATGGCTTCGGCAGACACTTGAACCAAAATACAGATGCATCTGAAGACCGGCTGATACCATTCTGTTTCCTGAGGTGACACTGAAAATCCACACACTTTCTACTCTCCGCTTAGCAGTTCACATTTATTGAGTGTCTGCTATGTGCCGGGCACTCTTCATCTTTTTCCCCTTTTGAATTTTCTTTTCATCTTTTATGTCATATGTAAGGGTGTTTTTTGCCTGTATATATGTTTGTGCATCACATGCTTGCTGTGCCTGAGAAGCCAGAATTGGATCCCCGACACCAGAGTTACAGATGGTTGTTAACTGGCACGTGGGTGCTGGGAACTGAACCCAGATCCTCTTAACTGCTCAGCCATCTCTCCAGCTCCCCACTCCCTAGGTACTGCTCTTGATGCAGAGTACAGATGTGAACAAACAGAGATCAATGTGCTTATGTGTGAGACCCTAGATTTGATCTCTATAGCTCTAAAGAAAAAAAACAAAAACAAATGTTGCGTGTCTTGTGGATGGGTACAGACAGTAGGAAAGAAATCCAGGAAACATAGAACACATAATGCCAAGTAAGTAATGCTCAGGGGAATAAAGCACAGAAGGGGATATGAAATATGAAACAAGAAGAGGAATTTTAAGTAGCATGACTAGAAAAGTCTTACAGGACAGTGACACTTGGATCAAGACTTGAATGACCTGAGGAAGGTCGTCTGCAGACATCTGGAGGAACATTCCAAGCAGAAAGAAACACCAATAACAAAGGCCTTATAGTGAGACAGTGTCTGTCACCGCTGGGCAGGATCAAGGTTGCAAGGGGTCTCCAGGACGAGACTGAGGGCATAATGGGAGATGACATCAAAAAGATGCCCAGAGCTAGGTCATAAAGGGCTTCAGAGTAGTGAGCAGAGTGACATGATCTGACTTCAACAGGATCACTCTGGCCACTGGAATTTGAAAATAGATTTGAGCCAGGATGAGACTACAAGGATCATCTAGGACTCAGCTTCGGAAACTGAGGGTTGAGACTCCAGATGGGGTCATGTAACTGAATGTGGGAGTTGTGAAAAATTTTGTTAGTGGTAAAGGGACATGTAATGATCAAATACTGATTCCAGATCAAGTGTATTGAATGCAGAACTTTTCTGTTAGCACTCACCAGCATGGCATGAAGTGAAGTTACTGCAGCCTTGGCTCTGAACACAAGACATGTCCTTTAGATTGGGTGCTGTCCCCCATCAGCACTGATGAATGCCACCTAAAACACCTCGGCTTGGATTCCAGACAACCTAATGTTAAGGGTGGCAGTGGTTTATTGTATGTATAAGGTTTTCTGCTCTTATGGAAGCACAGTGTAATGGCTTAATTATGGAAACAAAGGCTTTTAATATTTCTCCGCCATTATCCCTCAGCATGTAAGTACCTAGTGTGTCTGTAGGCTGTATTGTGTTAGAATGTTTGCTTTTAAAAGTTGCTGTTTGAAGGACTGGAAAGATGGCTCAGTAGTTAAGAGCACTTGCTGCTCTTGCAAAGGACCTGGGTTCAGTTCCCAGCACCCAAGCAGTGGCTCAAAACCAACCATAAAGCCAGTTTCAGGGAATCTGATGGCTTCTTCTGGCCCCTATGGGCACCAGGCATACATGTGGCACACACATGAAGGAAAACACTCATGCACACAAAATAAATAATTTTTTTTTTTTTTTTTTTTTTTGGTTTTTTGAGACAGGGTTTCTCTGTGTAGCTTTGCGCCTTTCCTGGAGCTCACTTGGTAGCCCAGGCTGGCCTCGAACTCACAGAGATCCACCTGGCTCTGCCTCCTGAGTGCTGGGATTAAAGGTGTGTGCCAACACCGCCTGGCAAAATAAATAATTTTTTGAAGACCACATTAAGAATCTTTTTAAAGTGTTAAGAATAGTTGTAGTTTTAGCCATGTATAGTGGTACACTGGTACACTCCTATAATCTCAGCACTTGACTGGCTGAGCAGAGAGGAGGGTCAGGAGTTCAAAGTTACCCTCAGCTATGTAGTGAGTGCTAGGTCAGCCTGGCCTACTTGAAGCCTTGTGTCACCATTACCACAATCCCTGAAAAAAAATTTTTTTTTGCTGTTTGAGTTGCTGATTTGAGTTTTTTATTTATCTATTTACTTATTTATTTATTTTTAATTGAAATGAACTTAGTGTTGGGATTGGGACAGAATTTCTGACATTCTGAAATATCCTTAAACATACATCTGCAATTTTATACTCTGTGCTTATGTAAAGTGGTGCTCTCAGCATTGATAATTATAAAAAGAAAAAACACCACCTCTGAAAAATGTGGAGAACGCAGGCTGGTGAGGTGGCTCAGCAGGTGAAGGTGCCTCCACCAAGCCCGACAGCCTGAGGTAGAGTACCAGAATCCGTTTGGTGGAAGGAGAGAACCGGCTCCTTCAGGTTGTCCCTGACCTCCACGCACACGTCACGGCACACAAATGCTTACACACACACACACACACACACACACACACACACACACACACACACTAAATGTAAAGCAGTATTGAAGATACTCTGTCCTGCATTATTAAATATTCAGCTGAGATTAATTCTTTATGAAAAATGAACCAGCACATCCATCTCAGTGTGAAAACTTGCCTTTGTATTTTAAAAATGGCAAAATTCTATGTATACAAATAATTGGTTTAAAATAAATTTATTTCCTCTGAGAACCCCTTTATGCAACCCCTGATGTATAGATACATAAATTTGTTGTTGGTTGTTTTTGACTCTCTTGGGGGCCTGCCACCCAGCTCCCAAATAAACACACAGAGTCTTATTCTTAATTATAAATGTCTAGCCTTATCTTGGCTTGTTTCTTGCCAGCTTTTCTTAACTTATCCCATCTACCTTTTGCCTCTGGGCTCTTTCCTTTCTTTCCTCTGTAACCTTACTTGCCCTCTTACTCCATGGCTGGCTGTCTAGCTGGGTGGCTGGCCCTGATGTCCTCCTCCTTCTCTGGCTACTTCTTCCTTTTCTCCCAGATTTCTCCTTCTATATATTCTCTCTGCCTGCCAGCCCCATCCATCCTTTCTCCTGTCTCGCCATTGGCCATTCAGTTCTTTATTAGACCATCAGATGTTTTACATAGGCCCAGTAACACAGCTTCATGGAGTTAAACAAATGCAACATAAAAGTAACACATCTTAAAATAATATTCTACAACATTAATTAGGTACACAAATCAAATATGTGTAACCCAGGCTGGCCTCAAGCTCACAGAGGGACTTGAATATCTTGATCCCCCTGCTTCTACCTCCCCACTGCTGGGATTATAAGCAGGTGCTATCAGGGCAGGTTTCGCATACCAGGAATCAAACTCAGGGCTTCATGAATGCCAGGCAAGCACACCACCAACTGAGCTACATCCACAGTACGTTTTCTTTTTCAATTTATTTTTGAGAATTCGTGAGTCTATGTGTGTGTCATGAGTGTTTGTAGACCAGGTGAGTGCAGGTGCCTGGGGAGAACAATGGAGGCCGTGGGATAGATGCCCTGGAACTGGACTTAGAGGTAGTTTTGAGCTGCCATGTGGGTGCTGGGAAACAAACCCAGGTCCTCTGCAAGAGCCATCTCTCCAGCACCTTCTTTTTCAATTAAAAATGTTTATTTATGTATTTATTTGTTTGTTTGTTTGTTTATTCTTTTTGAGACAGAGTCTTGTATAGTCCAGGATGATCTCAAAACTCACTACTTAGCAAGGATGACCTTGAATCCCTGATCCTCTTTGCCACACCTCCCAAGTGTTGGGATCGCAGCCGAGTGCCACCATACCTGGTCATCCACTTTTTAAAATAATTTGTTCAGTCTAAAATCGTCTTGTTTCATATGTGAATTAGCTGAAAGTCAGGGCACTACATTTTCACTGCTCAGCTAAAACTGAGAATTGTCACACCATTCCTATTTCGCGCTGCCATCAGGAAATTAAGGCCCCTTTGAGCCTCACTTTTTTTCCGAATTGTCAAATTCAAACCCAAGTGTGCCTTTGTCCAGACACCTAAGCCGCGGCGGACTAGCCCACGGGGGCTGTGCACGCTGGGAGTTGTAGTTCGCCTCTCTCCCTGCGAGCAGGGTCTCAGTCACAGGAGCGCCTCCAGCGGCGAGCACATTTGGTGGCGCGGGGTGCGCGCAGAAGGCAGGAGCGTCTCCTAGCAACGGGGGAGCTGAAACGTCACCGAGGCGTGTTCTCAACGCTGAGGCCAGGTGGAACCGCCAGTGCACCTTCCAGCCGCTGCGTCGGACCTCCTCCTCCGCCGTGCGCTGCAGTTCCTGCCCCGGCTGGTCCCGAGCTACCTCCCGGGAGTCTTCGTCACTGCGGCCCGCCGGCCTCGGCTTTGGCCAAGGTGGGACGATGCTGGAGTCTATTCGCGTGACGGGTGAGTGCAGACAAGGCCCGCCCCGGTGGCGCGGCTGCAGCGAGTGGAAACCGTTGGGGTCGGGACTTGGAGGACCCAGAGGTAGCAGTCGCGCGTGTGCGCGCGGCGCGGCACCCCAAGCCCTGCAGAGAGAAGGGAGCGCTGTCCCTTTTCTGATGTCGGTCACTAGCCACGGGTACTGGCTGTGCAATCTAGAGAGTGTAGTCTCGAGTACAGTCTGATTTCAGAGCATTTTAGCGTGCAGTGAGGTGTTCTGTTTTCTAGAATGTTCATAAAAAGTCAGCTAAGGAAACATTTCAGTGTATGTTTTGTATGCTTCTGTTCTAAAACGTCTTGAATTGATGTTATTAATAAGGATGGGTGTTTAGATCCAAGGTTGGAAAGTTTGTCTTTGACTTTTGAGTAGCTGTATTTAAATCTTTATAATATTATACAGTTCCTGGGCCATTGCCCCTGCGTTTGAGTCTGCATGAAAACATTTCTCCAGGACAGGTACCAAAACAACAGAGTTAAGGGAAATAGCTAATTCCCAAACTCGAGTAAAAAAATAAGTCTAGAACTTTAGCTTCAGTGTCTTGCAGTACCTAGAAGACGAGTTTTCTGAATTAGTTGTTTTGAGACAGGAACTGACCACCTTACCCAGACTGGCCTTGAACTCATGATCTTTCTGCCCCAGTTTCCCAAGTGCTGAGATTATGGACATCACTGGCTAAGACTTTTTTTTTTTAATTAGCATGCAAAGTAATAGGTTTCATTATGGTACTTTGAAACTCATATAAGTATGTTGCAGCAGTATTTTTTAAATTGAAAAACTAAATTATTTTTCAGTGAAAATATTTCTGATCTTAATTTTTTTATACTATGTGCAGAACTGATTTTTGTGCAAACCTGGTAACCTATAGTTTACCACGTTATGTTGACAGGAAACTTAGTTATAAAAGCCAAAAGCCAAGATCTTAGAGGCCACTTAAATTGGCATTAGGCTTCTTAAAATTGTGATTTGATGTAGATATCACTTTTGTCTCTAGTATTTTTAAACATCGTTACAAAGGGGTTTCATATTCATCATCGTCATCGTTGTCGTTTTAGACAGACTCTCCTGTAGTCGAGGTTTTTTTTTTTTTTTTTTTTTTTCCTGAAGTATCAATTAGTGAACGGGACAGGCAAACCCTCTATGAAGAGATCATAGCTGAAAACACACCTGGACTATCCTGACTCTCCCTCACTTTGCTTGGTGTCTCAGGCGCTTATTTTCTTCCCGTTAGCAGAAAAACCTGACTGTGGTAAGAGTGCTGATGAAAATGCATTCCTTCTTTTTTTAGCTTTGAAATAGCAGTAAATTTGGCAGCCTGGTGGCATAGGTCTGTAATCCCAGCTACTCGGGAAGCTGAGGCAGGACGATGGCAAGTTCAAGGACTTCCTGGGCAATTTATTGAGAGCCTATCCTAAAATAGATGTAAAGGAACTGGGGAGCTGTGGAGAGGGTGCTTATTACCTAGCATGCAAGAAGCCCTGCT